AGATGGAAAACATTGTCATGTAAGGCACTATAGATAACCATAATATAAACAATAATTTATAACTTTGTATGTTGTATTTGGCTTTAAAAGGTCAGCTGTCAGTCTAAACATCACCTTTTTGTTCCATTCTGTTTGAACTGCAGGTATTCACTCTCCATTGAGATTAAAGCTGTTTCCAGTTAATTGAAGAAGGTAAAGTGCCCTATAACTGAGTTATGAACTGGAAAAACTGAACATTTACTGCTCAATATTATATAGCTGAGACCATGGGAAATGTACGAATAGGTTTGTTCATAGGCTATTCTTTGTAAGACATCACACTGTCCATGGGAGACTTTCAAAATGTGTAGTTATAAAAATCCAATAAAAAACAAAACCGCAACATTGTCTTACTTTCATAAAATAGTTCCAAAATGAGCAAACACCACTGTAATCCTGGAAAGGAAAGTTCCAAATTGTCCAGTTATTACCTCAAGAAGATATTTTCATTAACTCTCCTTGTATGGGTGTTTTTTTTTTAAGAACAATTCTGTTCATATGTCATGATCCATATGCCAATGACTTATTTTTGGTCCTCAAATCGCTCACTATGTCCTTTTATAGGCCAATCTCATCATCGAATTCATCCTCAAAAGTGTATCCTTGTTGTCCGTTGGCACCTTCCTCCTCTGAATCTGTTTCTGAAAGATGCTGGTCTTCTCGCCTCTGGTCCAGCGGTGAGACTCCCTCATATTCTGAGCTCACTGAGGAAGAGAGGCTTGGAGAGTTGTCCTCCCTCCGATTAATCACCTCTGCTTGTCTTGGGTCTTTGTCGTAAGCCGTTCTCCCACTAATCTCTTGCATCCCCTTATTTGGTCTCAAGCCCATTTCTTCTTCAACTTCCACATCTAGTCCTTCGATTACTTCCTGTCGACCGATGATCTCATCGCGTTTGTCGCTGAATCGCACTTTGGGCCTGAGCCCTTTTGATTTCACGCCATTCACCTCATTCAGCTGCTCATCTCGATGGCTCACCTCTTTGGTCATACTTTCCATCCTCATCCTCTCGTTCAACTCATTGGCAGCATTCCTTGGTGACATCATCACATCTCTCGTGCTCCTGCTGGGACTAAACACGTCTTCGTTGTCTTTGTGAGAACCCATCGTCAGTCCGTCCATCACTCCCAGGACATCTCCTAAAATCGAAGGCCCTAAATCCAAGTCGAGGTCAAAGGAAGAAACTGAATCGGAGTGCCGGAGCTCATTTGGACCGGTATCTTCTGCGTATTCAGTTTCATTGTTGTGGTTCATCTGATTGTCTGTGGTCTCTACAGTGGCTGCCATGACTGGTTGTTGCACAGACGTGGGATTAGGACTAGAGGGGCCATGGCTGGACAGGAAGGAGGTGTCACCAAAAGCGTCTCCACCTCGACCAATGTGCATAGTGTGACGGAAATCACCCAGTGGAGCGGAGATCATGGTGGGGTCCAGACGTGGGGTTCGAGAAGATGATTTGTGGAGAGGCATGGTAGCAACTGAGGAATGAAACTGCAAAGTCAGATGAAGGAAAAGGTGGAATAAACATTTAAAGTGCAATAAAATGGTTTATAATTAACCATTATATTATAATTTGTTAATTATTGTTTAATATTGCTTGTTTTTTGTTTGGTCCTTGTATGTAAACATTTGCTTTTAAATGTATTATACAAATAAAATGTGATTGATTATTAGTTACATTCCTAAATCTCCTATATTCTAAATTAATAATATAATATAATATAAATCTTCACATTTGATTATATTTAATGTTTATTTTATGTTATTCACATTTTAAAATATCTTTCCTTATACAAGTTTTTATTCAGTGGGACTGAATTTGAAGGGAGACATGAGATAAGACACGTGATTATAATACCCGCTAAATTTCCATATTTTATTCACAGTCAGGTATGAAATCATTACGTCGCAAAAAAAGAGGTATGACTGCGTAAAGGCTGTGAAAAAGAGGAGCTGACAGACGCCACAGCCAAGCTCGGACTTGTATGTGAAGCGCGTGCTTAAATGCATTCTTCCCTCGAGCTTTCTCGCGAGGCGAGGTCGAGACACAAAGTCTCAGAGAAACATTATGAACTTGCCCACGGTTACATCTTTTTAATTTGATTAAATAATTACTATTTAGATTTATGCAGAGACAGAAATGTGACTGTTTTCTGAAGCCCATGGAACTCTTTTCCATTCTCAGGGACAGTTTCTTATACTTTAATATATTTAATTGCTTGGACAAAACATTTTATAATTAGCGCGTTTCGTTGCTTATTGTTGTTAAAAATCCATTTTAGGACCATTTGAGAATCATATTTATACGAAGAAATGCGTAATATCGGCATTTATGTGATCTGAACTATTCATAAACAACTGCAACAGCTGGAAAGGGAATCAGTTCTAGACGCCTTTAACAGGTCCATTGACTACGTGCATACAATCTAATATTCTGAGGGTAGTTCAGATGATGAATACTATAAAACAACTTTTAAGCACATTTAATAGGCTACACATTAGATGACAACGAAATAGTTTAATTGCAGCCAAGTAACACCAGTGGTCTGATAATTTTAAGCAGAAGACCTGCCTTTTGTCCAGGAATGCGTCCTCCTGTCCAAATAAGCTGTAATAAAGCAAAAATCAATTTGTTATTAAATAGTCCAGCTTAATGCAATGAAGGTGTCCTAAAGTGGGAGTAACTGCAAAAGTTACGCGCCCAACTGAGTTATCGAATCGGCGGAAAAAACGACGGAATTAAACTTACTTTGATCACCGTGTGCTTATCAGTGAGGTTGTGCCAATTTGTTCTTCTTATAACCAAATGTTTGTTTAAATATCTTTCGCTTTCCCTCTTTTACTGACTTTTCTGGCGTCGCTCTTCTCTCCGATATTTCTCTTTTCCTTCAGGGATGGGCAAGGAAGTGACGTGAGTTTTGTAAGGGAGCGTTCTGGCTAAAGCTGTGATAGTGAATGAAAGTACTGACTGACGCAGCCTATGTATTTTTTTCCTGTCAGAACAAATATTTCACACGGATTTTTATTAATGTGTGGATATGGTCCAACCTCACTCAAGTGTAGAATCAGGAGTAATTCAGGAGTAATCAGGGTTGAAGATGAACAAAGCATATAGGGCTTTATATAGGCCTATTTGTACATTGTGTTTAGTTTATTGCCATGGATGAAACACAATGAAACACGTTTTGGAATCCCGTCTGTCAACATTTCAAGCAGAGCTTGTCGAAGCAGAACCTGTTCTAAAGCTCTGTTTGTACTTTGTTTTTGTATCTCCATGTATATCACTCTCACTATCAACATTATAATTGAAGTGCAAATGCCAAGATGTAAACGCTAAAGACTTTTTTAAGTTCAAAGTTGACCCTGCATGTAAAGCACAACATGTGAAATAATAGTAAGAAAAAAAATCTAGTTTAGACTATTTAAATGAAACAGTTTATAGAACCTTTATATGAAATAGAAAATAAAATATATATTAAAAAATCTTATAAATATCAGTTGTCACTCTTTATCTTTGTATCACTGCTTAATCTTATTGTCTTATGATCAAAGCTCTATATTTTTTATTGTATATTTAAATATAATACATTTAACATGATTTGTCTAATTATACACACACACACACATACACGCACTGCTATACTAAAATATAAACTATCAGTCAGAGAAAACATGTAGAAGATTGTGTAGAGTATAACAGATTTAATAT